GAAACCTTTAGGAAAAGCTCCCTGGGGGCCAGGACCAGCCCCAGAATTCATTCAAGGCCTTAAAGCGCTCCAAAAAGTACAAAAAGAAATCTGGCCAGCCCTAAAGGCCATTTACGATTCTCCTAAAGCTCCTGACCCGGAACATGGCATAGTCCCAGGAGATTGGGTCTGGGTCAAGAGACATAAGAGGAAGTCGCTTGAACCCCGCTGGAATGGTCCATATGTAGTTGTCCTGGCCACCCCTACAGCCTTGAAGGTAGACGGAGTAGCAGCTTGGATCCATCACTCTCATGTCCGGAGAGCGAACCAGCCAGACGAAGCCTCTGCTGCCAGGTGGAGGGCGACCATAAGTCCACATAACCCCATGAAATTAATTCTGAGTAAAAATTGATTTTTGTGTTTACATATGTACCCTCAGCCCAATGCTCCTTCCGCTGCTGCTGCTTCTAGCTTCGGTTGGCGCCGCTTCAGTGAAACAAAACCCGAGATCCCACACCCCTTACAAACTGACTTGGCTGATTCAAAATGGAGAAACATGGATGACTTACAACTCCTCGTCCACTGTGGCCGCCCCATGGACCTGGTTCCCGGATCTGTATTTCAACCTAGACTCGCTCGCTGGCGCGGCACGAGACACGAATGACGATGGGCTTCCACGGATGAGGAGAGCTCCCATACCAGTCTCCGCGTCAGCAGCCGGCAATGCCTACTTCCGAGAGCAGCAACAACGCATTGCCAAAAGTAGGAACGGGTTTTATGTGTGTCCAGGGTTCTTGAAAAGGGCAGGATGTGATCTAAGCAAGTATTATTGCAATAAGTGGGAATGCGTTACTAGTAACGATGGGGAATACAAATAGAAAACCACTCCTAAGTTTCTGACTTGGGCATTTGTTGCCCGTTGCACTCGTTCCTATTACAGTACTGATTGCAACCAGGTCAAACTCTCCTTCACAGAGGAAGGAAAACGGGACAAAAGGTGGGCCCACGGTCTGATGTGGGGCCTCTGGCTATATGACAATAAACACAAAGGGGAGCTCATCCAGATAAAGTTGCAAATAGAGTCTATTGCTCAACCCGTAGGCCCCAATCAGATTATCACAGGTGTTGTTAAGCCCAAAAATCCCAAACCTGTGCTTCCCAAGCCATCCCCGGTTTCAAAGGGATCCTTAGCACCACCTGGAACACTGAGTCCAAAAACAGCAGAACTGATAATTCCAACCCAAGACTCCAGTAGCTTTGAACTTCCTGACACTCTTAAGTTTTTCTGGGACATTATTTCATCCACTTATCTGGCCTTGAATAGTTCGTACCCCAATAAGACTTCTCACTGTTGGCTGTGCCTCACCGCCAGACCACCCTATTACGAAGGTCTAGGACATGTTGGAAACTATACACGCTTTAACACTGTTCCCTCCCAATGTAAAAGGGACTTGAAAGTTGGCCTTACTTTGCAACAAGTTTCGGGGGCAGGTACGTGCGTAGGCTTGAGATCTCAAACTCTACAGTTCCTATGTAATAAGACTATTATTAATCCTAACATCTCCCCAGAAGAGTGGTTAGTTCCCGACCATGGATGGTGGATTTGCTCTGAAACGGGACTCACTCCATGCTTGAGCTCCACTTTTAATGCGTCTCAAGATTTTTGCATCATGGTACTTATTTTTCCTCGAGTCAGTTACCACCCCTCCCTGCCAACCCTCACCCTGCGCAGGCTAGTAAAAAGGGAACCATTTACTGCTATAACTGTGGCCACACTCTTCGCTCTAGGAGCAGCAGGAGTGGGGACTGGAGTGGCCTCATATGTAGAGCAGAAACAAGGGTTCGCACTTCTTCGAGGATCCATAGACGAGGATATAACTAGAATTGAAAAGTCCATCACTGCATTGGAAAATTCCCTTTCCTCCTTAGCAGAAGTAGTCCTACAAAACAGAAGAGCATTAGACCTTGTCTTCCTCCAACAAGGGGGTCTGTGTACAACCCTGGGAGAAGAATGCTGTTTTTATGCTGACCACACTGGAATTGTAAGAGAAAATATGGCTAAAGTTAGAGAGGGGTTGCTCCGTAGACAGCAAGAAAGAGAAGCCTCCCGTTCCTGGTTTGAATCCTGGTTCCAAAGCTCCCCCTGGCTGACCACCTTACTCTCCACCATAGCAGGACCCTTGATTGTGCTGGTCCTCCTCCTTACATTTGGCCCTTGTGTTATCAATAGAATTGTAAGCTTAATACAGAACCGTATTAGTGCGATCCAGCTCTTAATGCTTAGGCAGCAGTATGGCCATCTGCCTGAGGAAGATTCCTCAGGTTAGTATTAGTAAAGGGGGAAATTGTGAGAATGAAAGTGGACGGCTGAAAGTAGGGCTCAGAGCAAGAATCGCCGCTTCAGGCATAAGAACTTGCTCTGAGACCTGCTTCAGGCCGGGGCCATAAGGACAACCAGGCATGGCTAGGCAAGTCCCCAACAGAATGTCTCAAGAGACACAAATGCAGGGTAAAGAGCACACTCATAAAACTGTCACAGTTGAAGACTCACAGGCCAGGTGGCCGGAACAGGTAACAGATAAGATGAGGCCGGTAGGACTGGAAAAAGTCTTAGTACTATAGGTCACTTGTGTGATGTTATGTTTAAATCTATTGGATCCTGCGGTTTCTGAATGCTCCATTGGGTAAAAGTTGTAATCCTAGTTTGCATATCCCCCTCCCATGGTGTGTCCCAAAACCCTATATAAGGTGCGGTTTGTGAACTGCTTGGGGTCGAGCTTTGGTGAGCTGATGCAGTAACCCTGCTGTAACACTGCTGTAACACTGCTGAACACTACACTGCCAGCCGCCACTCGACCCTAGCATGCTAGCTTGAATAAAGCCCGCCTGCTTTTGCATTATCTTTGTCTCTTGGTCTCCTTATTGGGTGGTGGTCTCGGACCCTAACAGTAACAGGACAGGAATGGACACTTCATTAAGGAAGATATTCAGGCAACCAAAAGACAAGAAATGTTGACAATCATTAGCCATTTTGTTGTTAAGTGCCATCTAGTTGGTTACGACCCATAGCGACTCTATGCAGGGTTTCCAAGGAGCAGCTATTGAATTTGAACTGCTGACCTTGCAGTTCAAACTGACCTTGTGATCGAGTACTTATCCTACAGCACCACACCAGGAGAGATGCAAATCAGAAAAACAATGAGATATCATTTCATACCAAAATTAACAGCCAAGTTCAAAAAACCCAACAAATGCTGGTGAGGGAATGGAGAGATGGACACTCCTGCATTGCTGGTGGGACTGTAAAATGGTTCAATCATTCTGGAAAATGGTGTGGCACTTCCTCAGAAAGTTGAAAATGGAAAATACCATATTACTAGCAATCCCTCTATTTGGTATATATTCACAAGAAATATAAGCCAGGATATGAGTAGATACATGCACATCAATGTTTATGATTCAATTGTGAGTAATTGTTAGCAGGATTACTTGTCACAACTGTAATTGTAGAAACGTAACTAAAAGTGGGGAGTAGTTAATCTCTCATTTTAGGAACAGAGGATCCCAGGAATAGCAAGAGGGACGAGCATGAGTGGAGCATGAGACCCCTACCTAGAAAAGCAGCGACAGTAGAGATGGTTGCAGAGGCATAGAAAGGCAGAGCAGTCAGGCGCTAGGTCTGTGGACTGTGTAAGGTTGTGTGCCTGTGGGCAGGAGGCTGGCTTGCAGAATGTGCCCTTTGAACATTTAAGGAATATATATTTTTTATTTTGGATGTGTGCATCAAATATTTTTGCTTTGTTCACTTGTGAAATAGAATATATAAATGGAGAACCACAGGGAGGAAATAGGATAACTTTTATTGCAGGGAGGGGTTTGTAATCATTGAGGTGAAACAAAGTATATGATTTGCTGAATATAAAGCTGATATTTTGTCTCTAAATCTTCATTCAATTGACAATAAATAGTTTTTTAAAAAACAAAAACAAAGAAGATTGGCCCAACAGAAAAACAATCTGAGGAATGTACTATCCGTATTAGAAAAAAAAAAAATCTCAGCAGCAATCCAGTGGAAAAGCAACTGGAATAGGGACCAAATCCAAAATAGTTAAGAAAATACAGTATGATCTTGGACTTTATCCAAAGGCAGTGAATAATTGACTAGACTCACATCAAAAGAAAGAAGAATTAAACACAATTAAATACAATTACTCTACAGTGAGAACTAAAAAATGAACATTTTTTCTGGCCTCCCTCCAGCTGATGTAATGTATATGATATAGTTAATTAGGTTTTTTGGTATGTTCATTTTTAGTAACCAGTATATCTGGATAAAAAAGAAACAAACAAAAAACCCTACAACAAATTATGAATTACCTCTTTATGAATTATAAGTAAGCTTGAAATAATAGCTAATAACATGTATAGTAAATGAGGAATAAGTATTTATGAATGATGATATTTATAATGCCTTTTCATTAAAACTCCAAATATTGTTTTTTAAGCCTGAGAAAACATAATCCATATGTGAGACTTTAATGGTCTTTCATAGAATTTCTCCTTACTTTAGCCAAAGGAATATTTCTTGACTGATTTCCTACATTCCACTCATAAAAACATTTAGCAAATATGAACAGAAAAACAAAGAAGTTCACTGCTGAGACTCAAATGAAAAATGCTGTTGTTTGTTGCTTTCAAGTTGATTCCAACTCATGGAGATCCCACATGTGCAGAGTAGAATTGCTTTATAGTGTTTTCAAGGTTGTGGCCTTTTAGAAGCAGAGCACCAGGCCTATCAAGATGCCTCTGGCTGGGTTCAAACCACAAACCTTTGACTAGAAGTTGAATATTTGTTTGCACCACCTAGGGATATGTCTGTAAATAATACAAGTATTTCAATAATTTAAACATGTGAATTTCTAGTTGCACTAACATCTGTTTTGTATGGAAGCAGTTCTGTTGAGAGGATAGCTTTATAAAGCTAAAACTTTTCCTAAGGTGGACTTGGTAGACATCTCTAGTTTTTACACCCCAACTTTTGGGGTAATCTCTGTGTTTCCTTTGGACAAACTATTCCTTGACTGTATCCATATGATTTGAAGGCACTGATTCCTCCAGGTCAGTG